CGCCGCTGATGGCCCTTCCGCAGTTCGCGACATTTTGCTGCGGAGAGTCCTGTCGGATGAGTAGATCTTCCGTTTTAGAGCCGGGTTATAGTTGCCGTCATTTCTCCTGGCTCTCTTGCCATACGTCGTCCTTCTCCCTTCTTCATTCTGGGGGTGTTCGTGAACTCTCTTTTCTGGACGGTGGAACGGCTTCTTTTTCTTGTTACCTTCAATTTTCCCGCGGGGAAATTTTCTTTTCACTTGCTCCTGCTTCTGCCTCTTAATTGGCTTGCCCTTGTACTTGTCGTTTTTCCACCTCTGGAGCTTGTGCCTGCGGTGTCTGCCGTGCCGGATCCTGCAAAAGATCTGAAATATTTGCATTTTATTACGATCGAAGTAGGGGGTTTTGATTTGATCAATGTTTGCGGAACAGGTTTCACACATTTCTGGCTTTTAACACTACTACAGCGTGAGTTTTTTTTTCTATACATATGGTCCTTCAAATCGTGGAAAAAATTTGGCAGTTTTATCTTCTGGTGCTGAAGAAAGTGAATGCTTAATTTTTAAAACTTCATCCCCTACTTTATAAGTTACTCCCCGTCGTTTCAAATCATAATAGAATTTTTTTTGTTTTCTCTGTGCTACTTCAGTATTCTTTTTGCTTCTTTAATTAGTTTTTCTATATCACCCATTTTAAATTCTGGGGCTCTTTGTTGCACATAAAATAATTTATTATCTAACGGCGTTATAATCTTTCTGCCTAAAAATAACTCAGCAGGAGTTTTGCCCGTTGTATCATGTTTTGCGGTCCTAAGGGCGAAAGCAAATTCATTGACATAGTTATCCCAGCTTTTATGAAAATTTTTAACATAACTACGGATAATTTTCACTATATTTCTATTGACCCGTTCCGTTCCGCTATATTTGATTGCGGCCGATACGGGACCATTTTTAAATGACGTATGCCCAGTTTTTTGGCACATGTCTTCAAATATATTACTTACAAATTGAGGACCATTATCCGATATAACTTTTAGGGGCGCCCCCGTATTTTAAAATATATTTATTTAAAATAGAATCAGTAACTAATTTCGCGGAGGCTCGTTTTAAAAGGGAACAATTTCGGTCCATTTACTAAAATGATCAACCATAACAAGGAGATAGCGACTTTTATTTAACTGACTTTTTGGGAAAGGGCCCAATAAATCGATGCCAATTATTTCATTTGGAAATTCGGATTTAATACTATTTAGAAACCCGGCCGGGCGGAAATTAATATAATTAACTGCTTGACATGTTGGGCAGGACTGGACATACGCCCTTGTTAACTTTTGCAGTTCAGGAAAGTAGACTGCCTCGCGTACGCGTTGGATAGTTTTTCGAATACCAGCATGAGAAGCTAAAGGCTGTCATGGAGCTCCTGCAGGATATTTAATCTAAGACTAGCTGGGATAACAGGTCGAAATTCGTTGTTGGAATTCGTAGTTTTTGTATAGAATAATAGACCATCTATTAGTTCGTAATGGGCCGCCCTATTTCTTATCGCCACAATATCTTGGTGGCTAAAATTTTCAGGATCCTTTAAATACTCATAAATACTTCCAAACTCAGGATCCTTACCCAGTTCGGTTATTACAGTTTCTCGGGAATTTATTGTACATGCTGTGAAGCATTGCCACCTTTACGGTATTACCTTGTTCATCTATTTTAATTCTTGATAGGGCATCTGCTAACGATATTTTCCTTTCCGGGGGTATGCTTGATTACCAGATTATATTCTTGTAGCTTGAGTGCCCATCTTATTAACCTTGGGGATAAATTTTTTCCCTGAGTACAATCTAGTTACCCCCGCCGCATGATCAGAGTACACTGTTATTGGCGCCTTTCCAAAATAGACTCGGAACTTTTGCACTGCTAACAGAACTGCAAGTGCCTCTCTCTCGGTCGCGGAATAGTTTTCTTTGTGTTTGATTTAAAGTTCGGCTAAAAAATGCCACGGGCTGCTGATTTTGCGAAAGTATAGTACCGCTCCTACCGCATAATCCGAAGCATCCGCTGAAATTTCTAAATTCTCATCCTTTTCAGGAAATTTCAACACAGGGGCTTGCGTTAATGCTTGTTTTAATTTTTCGAAAGCACTATTGGCTTCGGCCGTCCACGAGAATCTTGCCTTTTTCCTTTTTAATTTTAACAATGGTTCAGCGAATAGCCGCAAAATCTTTTATAAAGGACCTATAATATGAACAAAGTCCTAGAAAAGAAGAGAGCTCTTCTTGCCGTGTTTGGAGTCGGATACTTTTGTACAGCGATTATTTTTGATTCGTCTCTGTCTCGATTCCCTTTTGAGATATTTTGTAACCTAAATATTTTAATTCAGGGGCTGCAAATTTGCACTTTTCGACATTAACTTTTAGACCGGCCTCATTTAATAAAGAAAACACCTGTCTTAAATCCTGTACATGTTGGTCGAGATTATCACTAGTAATAATGATATCGTCTAAATAGATAAATGTGGACTTTCCAAGAACAGGTCTTAACACAATGTCCATGCATCGCTGAAATGTTGCCGGTTGCCCCTGAAAGGCCAAACGGCATACGCAAAATGCATAAGTGCCAGACTTGGTTATAAAAGCAGTCTTAGGCACGTCCTCAGGCCTAACCCCTATTTGAAAATAACCCGTCGTTAAGTCTAAAGTCGTCATATATTTTGGTTGGATTTTATGTTCCTTAAATTTCTTCATAATCGGTAACGGATATACCGGATATTTAGTTATGGAGTTTAATTTACGGTAGTCAATTGCGAATCTCCACCTTTTTGGATGCTGTCAAAGGATAGTCATTATTTTTCTTACATAAAACCACCGGGCTAGCATAACTACTTGAGATGGGCGTTATGATCTTTTTACGTAGCATATCGGTGAATATGCCATTCTATAATTTTTTCCTTATTCATATCATACCGGTATGGTTTGTTGACGAACTGGCATTGCAATCTCCGGTGTCAATACTATGGTTAGTAACCTGAGTAAATCCTGGAATATCACTAAATAACGAAGCAAATTCACTTACCACTTGTCGGATTCTTCGTTGCTCGTCATTAGGCAGGTGGTCAAGGTTTAACATCGGCGGTTTCAGTTCAGCCTTTTCTTCACCACGAACTGGTTTTCATCGTCAGCTTAAGGGACGCTTCATTAAAATCCAGTGTTGCTTGTGCCTCTGAAAGAAAAAGTCTATTCCTAAGATAATATGTGCTTGCAGATTCTTTACTATGAAAAAACATCAACCTTTACTTGTTTGTCCTTGATACGGACATACAAGCGGTACTTTACCTATACACTTACATCTTTCTCCTTGCGCAGCTAACACTGTCGTATTATCCGAATTATATATACGATATTTACGAAAATACTTCCTAAAAAAATCTTCTGCCACACAGGAACACTGCGCGCCTGTATCCAGGAGTGCGGTGGCTGGGATATTATTCACCAACACTTCAATCTTCAGAAGAGTCAAATTTTTCACCATTTTACACCATTTTACATTATATTTAACAGCCTCTAAAAAATCAAGTGTTTTTCCAGTACCTTTTACTGCAGTTATTTCACCATTTTTTATCATCTAATGAGTGTTCATGCACAAACCTTATTGCAGAGATGAGCAAATGCTTTTAACCATGGGCAAAAAGGTGTTCAGCTAATCATGTGGGTAGGGCTGTTGCAAGGTGCAATGGTTTTTCTGTTACGATCTTATAGGGTGCCCTATTTGTTTGCCAGTATGCGATTGGGGGGGGTGGCACTGCTATCTGGTAGAAATATTGTAACCATTTAAAATAAAATTTTATGCACTTAAATGTGTACTTTAAATAAGCCCTAGATGGTAAGCATGAGGTTTTTGGCAATGCATGGTGTTCAACCAGTAGTTATACAGGGCTGTGATTCAAAAGTTTCAATGTACATGTAAATTTCAAGGAACATGAAGCCCCCTCAAAAAAGGCAGCAATAATTAATGAAATATTTTTTATAAATTAATGGCTTTTCTTATATTTTTATTACAAACTCAACTTTAATTAATATATACTTAGTGTAAGGAGTGAAATCTCAAATTTTCATTCATGATTATTTCTTCCAAATTAAGATTCCAACTCATTTATAGCAATCCTCAACACCAAACGTAAATTTTCATCAGAAATGTGTGACTGCATGGTACTCAGCATACCTAGGCTTTGTACTACTGATTTGTGTAACGGATTATAAGACATTCGGATTAAAGACTTTTGACTGTATTATTTGTTCATCAAGAAGCTCTTTGTGCCGAAGACTTGTCTTGTGTTGTTAACCCTGTAGTGCGTTCTATCAACGAAATAGAGCTTGAGCTCTGAAATGGTGCCGATTTCATTACCTTTTCCCGGAATAAACAGAAGACGTAGGCAGTTACTCCTTCACTCTAGTGTGCTCACTAGCTTTCCGAAAGAACTGCACTACTGAGATTTTGGAATTTAAGGGAGTGTGTTTTAAAATATCTGGAAAAAAACAGTGAACTGCCCAGTGCTTTCTTGACTAAAGATTTCGCTTTTTTCACTGAATTTCTGAATCTGGATGATTAATTCTAATAATCAACCTTTAAAATTTGTTTTAGGCCTAACATTAAAATAAAAGTCCATTGAAGTTTCTTTGGATTACCTTTTCTTCTCTTATCTTTTCTGGTCATATATTTTTCGATTTTGTAATCTGCAGTATACATTATATTATTTCAAAGTAACATTTTTATCTCCTTGATGCATTTTTATTTCAGATACTGAATATTTTGTAGTTTTTAATTTACAATTTTAAAAACATGTATTTTGAGATTTTCATTATGAATGTTCATTTTACATTTCAGGTATAAATTATAAGAAACTTAATTTCATTAAAACCAGCTTCTCAGTTAATTAATTACTATAATTATTTTTATCTTTAACTAAAATCTGCTTCCTAATTAATCAAGTACTGTAATTATTTTTATCTTTAACTATCTTCATGTAGTGGTTGATGGACAAGAACCTGTAGCTGGTTCAAGTAATACAACTCCAGATTTAGATGCCAAGGATACAGAAATAGAAAAGGTAAAAAGAATGAATAGAAACCTTCGGATCATGCTAAGAAAAGTGAAGGTAAATTTTTAGTTTCTTTTATTAAGAACAATTTTTTCTTTACATTTAAATAATTTTAGATTATGATTATAATGCAACAATTTTGTTTTTCTTTTCTTTGAAAATTTTATAATTGTTGAAAGTAAAATTTGTATGTTTTAAGAAAAGCTGCTTGTTTTTACTAAAATGTTGGACTAAAAATCAGAAATTACTTCTTAAGTGTTTTTATCCATTTAGAAATATTAAAACAATGATTTATAACCTATTGTCTGAAAAAAGGGCAGCATGTCTTGATACAGTGAAAAGTCGTTGATTCGGACACCCATAATCCTGAATGATCTATAATCCGGACCTCAAAGCTACAAACTTTCTGTGCAGTGACGCATGCGCGTAAGACCTTTATGGCTGGGAATATGCGTGTGCGCATGCGCAAAATATGTTTACGAATGCGCGTTTAAGGTATAGCGAACAGTATGAGCTAAGCTAAAATTATCTAATTAAGTTAATGTTGCAGATTGCGTTGTTCCTTAATCTTTGAATTGTATCCGGCGTATTATTTTTTGCAGACTGTTAGAGCAATTTTATAAAAGTAAGCTTGAACTTTCGATTATGTCAAATAGAATTTTTGATATATAATTACTAATATGTAATGGATCTACAAAGCGAAAGTATGTATGTAAGTCCATTAAACAAAAAGTGGAATTGCTGCAAAAAATGGATAAAGGATAATGGATTTGTTTATATAACCATTCTGAAATCTGTTTATCAATTTCACAAATCTGTTTATCAGTTTCACGCTGCTCTGCGTGCGTGCGTGTGGGGGGGGGAACGTCGCGTCGCGCAATGAACTGGAAGTTGATCTGTCAGCACTATCCTTATCTTCAGGGCAGATGTTTTTATTTTATTTGGCTTATAATTCCTTACTAAATGTAGTATTTCATCTCGATGTACTCCGTCTGTGATATGATTTAAATCAAATTCCTCTTTATTATAACAGGGTTGCCATGCTACCTGGAAAACCTGAAAAAGTCAGGGAATTCGAAAATTGACCAAAAAGTTCAGGCAAAGGTCAGGGAATTTAAGTATTTTAGTGCAAATCTGGAAAAGTCAGGGAATTTCATACAACGATCCCGCCAAAAAAAGCGAGCTTTGTGCCGTCATCTGAAGAGATAACTTTTTTGCCGAATTGTGTATCACGTGAGTGTCATTCGGGCAGCTAGCATAGAGCCAATTTTTGCAGCTCCAATTTGATTGTCTTTTAGAAAGGGAAAGCAAGTTTCCCGCAACTTTTGGTTTCCAGCCACCTCGAGAATTGGGAGAATCGCATGTGCAGTGCATGAACTAAAGAAAGTACCTATTCTCGATAAAACAAAATGGGTTTAATCCTATTGTACGATACCATATAGGTTAGAATCAAAGAATAGGTATTGTAAAGAAGGAAAACCTATCTGCAGCATACATGGCTCCGTTCCATCATAGAGGGAAACAGCTGTGCATGTGCGATATATCTGTCGCCAAAGCTCGAAACCGGTGTTGAAGTTCGAAGGTCACGTTATTAAGAATTCATAAAATGACTATCGTTTAAAATTTCTTTAAACTCTAAAAGAAAAGAAAATATTTTTTGGCGCAAGTAAGTTAATTCATGGATTAGTTATTTTGAGGGTGGGGAAAAAACTAACGAAAATCCGTTTTTAAAATTATTGCGAAAAAATCCAAGAAGAAAACGTTCTATTGATAAAACATTTCTTCTTGGATTTTTCGCAATAATTTAAAAACGGATTTTCGTAGTTTTCTTTTTTTGTCAAAGAACGTTTCTTCTTAACACATGTTTCCCAATTTCCTGTACACATCACGGAGAGGAAAATTCTGGCCACCAGGTTCCGTCGCCAAATCCCTTGGCAAATTTTCCGTCCACATTCTAGCTGTGTAATAGCATTACGTGTATGGAATCTTTTCTTTACATAGACATTCTTTGGTTAGAATAATCTCCATGTATGGTACAACAGGATTTGGCGACATGATTATGAGAAGTAAACGGGTCATTTTGGTCTTGGCGACAATTTTCAAAACTGTGCCAAGGCCTTACCGTATACTAGAATTTTACCGCAAAATCTTTAAACCTTTTTTTTTTTCCTTTTTAATAAATACCTTGTCATTTTGCAGTAAAATAAAGAAATAGTGATCATTCATCTAGGCTAACCATGTAATATAACTATATTCGCTAAAATATCGTTAATTATTCTAATTCAATTTTTAAGTAATTATTTTTATTTTTATGTTATTCATATCATTTAATGTTGCTTCTTTTCTCTAAATTTATTTATTATAAGTAAATAATATTTCCAAATTTCAGGAAATGTTCTCTGGCATAATCCTGAAATTAATTCTAGCAGTATGATGACATACCATCACGAAATTTAATGCACATATTTTTTCCTTATGTATGCTGCGAAATAAATATAAAATACCTCAATTTATTTTTAAAATATCATTAAATAAGATTTTTCTTTCGTTTAGCTGCAGAATGTCTGCAAAAAAAGCCTTATTTTATTCCAGATTGGGCAAATCCTAATCTCAATCTTCAGTGGAGAAAACAACTCCTAATATAATTATATTTATGTTTTTAAGTGTTAAGGTGCCTTTTAAGAACATACCTCACGCAAATTAAATTTACCTAAAATCTAACTTAACTATTTAGCATTGCGTTGTGATTTATAAGGACCGGATTAGCCTGGTGTTGAACTGGTGATGATCATGAGTGATAATTATAAAACATACAGTTGTTATCCAATGTATATATCTTAAATTTTATTAAGTTTCTTAAGTGGAAAAGTAAGCAAAATTATTAAACAAAGTATACCAAGAATAATTAAGAATAAATGTCCTGGGATTTATTGAATAATTTTATTCAATAAATTTACTACACAATACAATTAATACCATAATTAATTTACCTCTTAGCACAGCCAACGTACATTACACAGATAGACTGGAATTTTTTTGAAACACATCTGGAAAACCTGGAAAAGTCAGGGAACTTCATTCTCCTATTTGAGTGGCAACCCTGTTATAATTCACTTCCGATACTTTCTCGAAAATGAAAGAATTTTGATTGACAAATTAGTCAGTATTCTAGACACAGCAATTATAAGACTTGAACAGCAGAACTTTGTAACTGAACAAGAAATTATGTCTGTTTATAGAATCAAAGAGAAAGTATTATCACATAAAAAACGAAACAACTTAAACAACTTACATTGAAAGAAATGTTTAATAAAGTAAACAAATAAATATTTAGGGTTTTTTTATTATTTTTTTATTTTTTATTTTGATACCCTTTAGATCATAATTGTTCTTTATTTCATAAATTACGGTTTCATATTTTTAATTTTATAATTTCTGCATGCCATCTTACCAGATTTAAACTGATGATCTATAATCCAGAAAATCTATAATCCAGAAAAATCTATAATCCGGAATCGCCGAAGTCCCGACGAGTCCGGATTAATAACTTTTGACTGTAATGGTCATTCCAAACTTAGTTACAGGAATCTTATTTTAGTATCTTGTTCAACAAAAAAAGTATGTTAGGAGTTACTTTTAGCAGAGTATCGAAAAGTCATAGCATTTTAAGCATACAAAAGCATTTTTCAGCTGTTAATAATATTTGAGCAGTAGATTTTTAAAATAATGACCATCTTTGAAATTGACTAGAATTTTGAGAACATAAGCAAGTATTGTTATTGCATGTCACCTTTCTTAGGTGACCACTTAAAATAAAAAGTCTGGAATCGAGCTGTTTTTCTGAGTATTCACTGTGTTTACATTAATAGAATGAATGATTTTTTGCCCATATAACATTTTATGCATATTCAGTGCTATGCAAAAACATTTGATCAAACTAATTAATTTTTTTCATCTCTTGGAATTATCTTGAGTTCTCTTACATTCGTAGGAATCTCTGCCCTATTCTTACATAATCATTTTCATTGTCATAATACATTAAACTGGAAAATGCACATTTTATTATATTAATTGTATTCTGAAATTTAATTTGTGGTGTTTGCTGTTGTGCTTTGAATTGTGTGTTTGTAATGTTTCATAAGCAAAATCCTAATATATTTATCAAGTCTCAGCAATGGAAGAATTTAAAGATGCTGTATGTCCAGATGTTGGATAATCATCTGGCTGCCCAGGCTGAAAGCCCATAGAGTTCTATTTTAATGCATGGCCTATTGGTTACAGGCTTGTTGAATGTCATTCATTCTTTGGTCATTGTGTGAGTACTTGCAGTCTCTAAGTGACATTTCCCTGTTTTTTGTTTGGTATCAACACTTTCATTCTGTTTACTCTTGTGCATCATGGTCTGACTGTTGTTGACATTCATCATTGCAATTTGCCCAAGGAAAGAACCTGAAAATGCTAATGCATAGCAAAAGATTTGATGGAAAAAGTAATGTACTTCTTTTACATTAGCAGATGTTCAGTTTATGCCAGTTTACTTGTTAATGGGGAGGAGTTTCTTTGGAACAGAAATAGATAAAGTCAGATTTTTTAGGCATCTACGAAGAACAGATATAAAAACAAATTAGTAATCTAAATCATGCATCGTAAAATAAATTGTTTATAATAATAAGTCAGTTTGGAGAATTTTTGAAATGACATTGCAATGCAGCATGAAAACATCCTGTAAACTGTCAGTTTTTGCTTGGAAACCATCCTGTTTTTCATATTTCAGGATTGGTAGTTCTGAATGTTGAACTCTTACATATTTATTACTAATTTAAAAAAGCTTAAAATTAATAATGTCAAAAACAAATTATCAAACAAATATTATGTTAATGGAAGTAGAAGTTGTCTTCATTGTTCAGAGTTGTGGCTAGGCTTTACTGTATTTTATTTTGATAGTTTTACACAAATAATTTTATTGTTGCTTGAATTAAGTGAATGAACATACTTTTATATGTGATAGAATACCTGGAATTATTTCATACATAATTTCAGGAAATAAAAAGTATTTTGTTCTGATACTTTTGTCATAGGTTGTTCCTTTTTATTTGTTTATTAAATTTGATTTTTAATCACCATCGATAAATTTTTATGAGGATCATGCAAGAAATATGATCTTATTGTGAAATTTAAGTTAAAATTTGATTTGATAAGCAGATATCTATCCACTGCAGGCGATGTCCCACTAAGGCTGTTGCGCCACTGAGTTTAGTTTGATTTGATAAATGTTCGTAATGTTTCTAATTTCGCATAATTCAGTTTTCTTGCTATAATAATTTTATAGTTCATAATGTCTCATATTTTGTTTTAGATATTCCTTAAGAAAATTAATCTGTATTTCTTTCTTTGCAAATCCCCTCCTTTTTTACTCATTTTATCATCTAAAAACAGAGAGGTGAAAATTATGGAGGAGAGGGTTGTGCAAGAGCATAAAAAATGAGCAGAAGTCATGGATGAACTACAGTTAACAATTGCAGTCTTACTTCTTTAAAAGAAATGTGCATTCCAGTAAGAATACATAGTAATATTAACATTACAATATCTAATAAGATGTTCATTCCTACTTACAACTTGAATCTTACCTGTTCTAATTATCTCTCTTTGTTACTCTTTAAGCCTCAAATCATCTATAAGTAATAAGAAAGAGAATTTGCAGCAGGCATAGTATAAGAGGAAGAATTTTTCAAAGCTAGGGTTTCTCTCTCTCTCTTTTTATTATTATTATTATTTTTTTTATTTGTGTGTGTGAATGTGAATGTAGCTGTCAGTAATGAAAGTGTGAAATGATTTATTATTTGTGAAAATTTTTAATTATGAAACAAAGAGAAGAAAATTAAACATTTTCCTCTTATTACAATTATTATAAGGTATTTCTCCTGCCTTCGTAGTGTGCCTTTGTGGTGTAGTGGTCAGCACGCTCGTGCGTATCGAGAGGTCTGTGATTCAAGTCCCACGAGGGCATTCCTCATTTTTCATCTCTTCTGCTTTAAAAAAATACCTAATGTCTCTGGAATAGACTGAATGACAGTTAATGTTTGCATGCTGTAATTAATCGTGTTCTTGTGTTAGGCTGGCATAAATTCCAACAGTTACAAAGGAAGGATTTGGTGTGACCTTTGCAGGTAGTTTGTGAAGGTTTGCCCTTGCTAGTAAGATAAACCAATCACCACATGAACAACTCCATTTAGGAGGAAATGCTATGAGGAAGGGAAAAATACTTAGGAGGAAATGCTTTGAGGAAGGGAAAAATACTTTTTTAATTTTCAGAGATTTATGCTGAAATATTTGGGGGGAAGGAGAATATGTGAGGAAATAAGAGCAAGAATTTTTCAAAGCTAGGGTTTCTCTCTGTCTCTTATTATTATTATTATTATTATTATTTATTTGTGTGTATGAATGTGAATGTAGCTGTCAGTAATGAAAGTCTGAAATGATTTTTTATTTGTGAAAATTTTTAATTATGAAACATAAAGAAGAAAATTTAAGCATTTTCCACTTATTACAATTATTTTCTCATTCTAACTAGTTTTTAACTAGTTTCCTTAAAATAAATGAACAGAATTGGCTATGAAAAGTTACAATATTAATAAAATATAATTGGAATTAGTTTTTGTGATTACTTAAATTGAGCAAGTGAACTTTTCTACCCCCCTTGTCTTTTCTTTCTTTTTTTAAATGAGGTAAGTGAGAATAGCATCAAATTTTGATTATTAAAATATGAAATATGCTATGCATGTTTTGTGTAAATCTTTCTGTAGATTTCTGTTTGTGTGGATTACATTCAGGGATATCAGGTTTTTCATTCTAGCTCAACTGAAATTTACTTTCTGTCTCCCAAATTATTTCCTTGATTTTAGTATCATAAATGCCAATTTTTTTAACTACAGAAATGGAATGGACGACTTTCTGCTGTATATATTTTTGGTATTTACACAAGACAAAATTTTAAAACATTGTACACATTGTAAAGAAATTTTATATCTAGTATATGAGTGTTGTGTGTTATATTCAAAGACAGTTTTCCAAACACATGTCATTCAGACTCTTCAGCATAATAGAAACAGATTCAAATAAAAATTTTGTAAAAGTACTTGCAGAGTGTGTTAACTGCCATGAATATCAAAACAAAAATTCTTAACTCCCTCTACTCGGTTACAGCTCTGAGAAATATACAGCAAATATGATGCTAGGAACTTTGTTGAAGTATGCCATTATGAGTACTAGTGCCTGAGACATACTTCAGTATGGCAGTTATGAAGTTAAGTTTTTACTGGTGATTTATGTATGTGGTTTTATTTACTTATTTTTTATTTCTCTGTCTAATTTTTTGTTAAATGATACGAAAAATAATAAGATTCAGTTAATATTTTTTAAGCCATTGAATTAATTTAGATGAATGTGTAAACTCGTATGTATACATTATTCAGCAAATATGACACCAGTAATAATTAATGGAAAAGAAAGTAATATATAAAAAAATAAAGAAAATAGCAACAACAATGTCACTTTATTCACAGATAATACAGCACTGGCCGTATCCTTCTGCAGCAGTGGGTATTCAATGGAATTTACCTAAATCAGAATATTGTTTCTTAGTAACTTCTCAGTAAAAACTTTCATTGTTATGCTATAAGTCCCAGAATTCTGTTTTTTTTCATAAAAGAGAGTGCAAAGCAGATAATGCCAAATACGAACGCCTACAAGTTAACCACAAATATATCGTTATTGATCTTGATTTATTTTGTATGCAAGTTGTTGAAAAGGTGTGGAGCATTACAAAATGGCTAAATAAAAATCAAAGGAGCATTTGGTGTCAGTTTCATGTTTTCCTCAGTGTTAAAGGAAATCACCAGCTTTATGCATTCCATGTAAAAATAATATGCTAAAATCTATTTTGTATTTATTCTGGACTTAATAAAACAGTCGTTCTGTTCTTGAAGCTGTGTCTATTATCAGCACTGCCATCGAATTAGAATTGGTTTTAAATAGTGTTCTGTTAACAGAAAGGGGGGGGGGAAATAAAAATTGCAACACGGAAGTCTGACATTATGCAGCCTTGTTTGCCATAGTTTGTCTAAATATCCTTGTTAATATGTTAGAGAGGTAACTCGCATAGTTGATCATTCACATGACTGATGTGCGTTTTTCTAGTAAAGCTTGTTAGATATTTTCTCGTGCATCCAAACTATAATTCTGTTTGAAATGCTGTTCAGAGCCTGAGAAACAAAACATGCATTATATCAAACTACTTTGTGTATTTTTCTCCCCTTTGAAGTATTGTATATATATACTAAAATCTCTCTTAACTGGCATTAACAGGATTTTTTTCTAAATCCGAATAAGAGATTCTTCTGGATAACATGAACTTTCCTCTTCATGTTTTGTGGTGGCATCTATAGAAATTACAGTATGCAAAACCCATTGGTCATATTTTTCAATCTATTGGCCATTATTAAATAAATAATAATAAAATTGTACAGATTATTTAAAATTAAGCACATAAAAAATATGTATTATTTTAAAATTGTATGAAAGTTACAAATTTCTTAGTGTGATGACATAACTTTGAATGTCTTTCTGCTTATGAGACTGTAGCCAGAGTTTAAAAATTCTCCCTGTATATACAATGAATCTTCATAACATCATGTACTGAGTCTTATGAAAGTCTGGAATCCTACATAATCTACCTTCCATATAATTCTTTCATTCTGCATGCCACTATTCATTTAGATTCCTCTCCTCCTCCCTCCTCATTCTTCTTAGTACACATCAAATTATTTCACCCTCATCTGGAGAGAGTGTGACGAAACAAAATCATCCTTACTTTAATCCAAGCCTGCATTTCTTCTTCACTATTACTAACCTTCTCTGAAGGTGTAAGTAAATTCAAGATGCCCAATGTGAGTGTTTGATAAGTTTTTAAAACCAACAGAACCTTCAGAACTCAACTAACTCGTCATCTCTGAACATGATCATGGGTCACAGTTTATATCAATAAAGTTGTGAAGTTAATGTTTTTAACATCTTTCAAGCCAAGAGTCGAAATAAATATGCCATCTTTAATTTGAATGATTTCTGAAAATCATGGACACTACTTTTCAAGTTTATACATTGATGCATGAAAAGGGATTTATTTTTATACTGTAGGTAATACATTGGATGGATAAGACTTGTTACATTGAGTGAAAAAAACTTCAATACAAAAGTTTTCCACATTTAGGCCTTCAGATTATTATTCAATTACGTATTTTTTTATCTTATAGGCTTAGACATTTAAAAGTGTTTTGATATTGCCAGTTAATCGGATGCTGGTTATGAGAGATTTTACTGTATTGCAATTATTTCTTTTTATTGGTAAATGTGCTTTTCATTATTATTTAAAACTGCTGTATTTATAACTTGGTTATTTATATTTTCTTAAACAGGGTTAACAATTCAACTGTTAAACAATTTTTTTTTCCCTCACAGGCATGTCTTCAAGTCTACCGGCAAATGGGATCCAGGGCAGCACAAAATGTAGTTGCGCTTCAAAGTAAATTGTCAAACGAAATGTCTAAATCAGGAGAACAGTTTGAGGATAGTCAAGAAAAAAATTGTGTAAGAAATTTTAAATTAAATTTTTATACATGCAGGAAAATGTTTCCTATTAAGGAATATCAGACTAGTTTTCGTTTAAGATTTTCTTTATGAAACTGTGAAATGCATTTAACTTACTGAAGGCAATTTTGTATATCTGTTGAATTTTCTGTTGATGATCTGTGCCTAATTTTCATTTAACATGCAATTGAATAATGTCGTACTAAGCTTAAGTTACTGTAAAGGGGTAGGTAACTTTAAAATGTCAAATTATGCCATTTTAAAGCTCCCTATTTTTATAAATTGGTTTGTGATTGTAAAATTTTGTATATGTATTTTAAGATGCTTGATATTATATTTACTCTTCTGGGTATTAAAATAGTTTAAATAAAATAAAATACCCTATTCAACACGCACGTAAAATTTTAATATGCACTGTGCGTAGCATTATGGATAATCAAGTCACTGTTTTAGCTAATCTCCCCCCCCCCCCCCAAAATTAGAAAAGCAATAACAATAAAATGTTCTTAAACATTATTTTTTTTTTTTTTTAACTTGAGAGCACAAAATCGACTATCTTTTTTAATGTAATATTAAATATTATAGTTGGCCATCTTATAATCACACAATTTATATGATTAGGCAAATTTTCTTAAAATTCCAACTAACAGTTTCAGACAAATCATGTGCGTACAGCAAAATTATAGTTTTGAAAAACTTGAAAGATATAAGTATGTGCAAATCCTGTAAATATGCAATATTTTTATAATGTTAATAAATAAATATGTTTTTAAATTAAAGTATGCATTGTTATATCTCTTAGCAGTATTGCATACATGTTGTGTGACTTATCTCACTTGTCTAACAGTAACATCAAAACAAGCCCATAGAATTCAACATGGCAAGGGCAGCAAGATTGCAGCTGTTGTTGACAAGATACTTGAGCACCATACAGGTGACAGTACGATTTTCCTCAGTTCCGCCCCCAATTTTGATGAAGAGCACTCGGGGGAGGGGGACGGGTCTGAAGATCTTCTACCCGCTTCCCCTACCACGAACCTCTTGAGAGGATTTTCGACTCGTCACATATTTAAGAGTGCCCCCCATACCGTACAGATGCTTTACATTTAGAAACATCCATGCCGTCTCTGGAATTCGAATATGGGCTCTTCGGTATCGCAGTCGGCATTGCTAAAGGCTATTATGGTTGGGTGGCAGATTCATTAATACTATTTGTATTCATAATTCATATATGCTATTCATAACCAATAATTTATTGTAAAAATTATTAGTAATTATATTTTTTTATTTAAATCAAGTGCACATTTAACACAAACTTATTCCAATTATACTTCAAAATTTTGTTTACTATTATGTTATTTTATTAAATCTTTCAATTTTCCCAGCAATGTGCATTAAGCTATATTTCAGTCATACGTATGAAGGGTTAAAAATGATGATACATTTTAAATGTAAGATTCTCAGCATGAATTAATTAAAGAAATTTGTTTTGATGGCACCAAGTATATTTAAAAAAAAAAAGAAAGAAAAAGAAAAAAATATTAGCTATTAATCTCAACATGCACTTTTTGTCCATATCACTTTTGCACCCTAATGTTGCCACCAAATGTTATCATGATGTATTGTAAAAAAAGTAATAATGAAAAATCTCTAATATGTATGTATGTGCGTACCCAAGGACATGAGTTTACCGGGGGGACTTTCTGTGGAAACAAAGCACTAAAAGGTTATTAATGCAGTGCCTGTTACCTGCCTTTTAACTTTACCTGCCACGGAATGCGTCGGATCATGTTGCTGCTTTATTTTGAAAAATGTTTCCCGATAGCGAAATTGCAAAGAAATACTCAAGGGCAAATGATTGCAATTGTTAAAGAAATGGGTATGAAAATTTTCAGTTATTGTTTTAAAACAGTTCCATTCTGCTTCTCTGAGGATGGAAGCAATAATACCAATTCACAACTGTATCCAATTGTTTCTTTTTTTAATCCAGTGTCTTCAGAAATTGAGTGTAATTGAATTTTCTGTTCCCACTTCAGGAGGACATTTGACAGGCCTTAATATATCACAGCTAATGATTAAAAATTCAATTCATCTTGGTAATTTTTTAGAATTATTCTTAAAATTATTTCAGTGTAAATTCAGTAATCTTAAGCATGTAACCAAAATGATGCAAATCAATCTTTCACATTAAACATATTATACTTTACGAAAGTAGAGTTGCCATTGCTCCCAATTTAGGCGGGAGACTCCCAGTTTCCGACCATAATCCCGACAACCGGATTTGCAACATATTTCTCCTGACGTTTTCTTATTTTTAAATTTTTATGAAGCTTTGCTGAATACTTTGTAATTTCACCCCCCCCCCCGAACCCCCCCCCCGAAAAAAAATTTTTGATATCGGAAAGTGCTTTTTTTTCCTCTCTCTCTCTCTCTATATATATATATAAGAAAACCAAATTTGTTTCATCAGTCAGATATGGCACGTCGTGTGTGAGAGTCCAAAATGCATTTCCAAAAAATGGGGTTCCAGTTCTCCAGTGAGAACCATGCACCACTCTAGTTCATCTGGCATATACCGTCTTTTGCAAAACAATCGAAGCGCCATGAAGGAAGTTGTTGTTTTTGCTGAAATTAAATATGTGTATAGATCATACACAGGTAATAAAATGATTAAAAATTCAAGGTCATGGTATGTGTTCACGGCTCACAATCATCCACTAAGTGTTCAAATAAGTATTGGTCGAACCGCCTCTGGCGGCAAAGCATGCTTGAATTCATCGTGCAAGGAGTGGTAGAGAATGCCATCCTGCGACACATTCTGCCAGGCATTCATCAATTGTCGCTCCAAAAATTGCAATATTTTGTGGTGCCTGAATTTGGCGCCCTACTGTGTGTCCCAAACGTGCTCAATTGGTGAAAGGTCTCGTGACCTTGTTGACCAAGAAAGAGTATCAACCACACAGAGATATGCGGGCAATATTTGACCTGGCATTATCTTGTTGGAAAATGGCCATAGGATTACACGCCATGAAGTAAGGGTAATGCAATCGGCTGCAGGATGGTATCAACATATCGTTGAGCTGTTAAAGATGACTTGCTGTCATAAGAAATAGTGCCCTACACCATCACACCAGGTGTTATTGCTGTATGCCTTTGTAAAACAAAGGCTGATGTAGACCGCTGGCTCCGTCTTCTCCAGACTGGAATACGGTAGTCATCTGCTTTCAAGAGTGAAGCGGGATTCATCACTGAACACTACAGGATACCTGTGTGATGGCAGTCATGATGATTGCCTGCGACACCCCTCCATACAACTCCGCCGATGTTGTGGAGTCAAAGGCAAATGTCTTAAAGGTCTCTGTGAGCGTAACCCTGCCTCAGCAGACAAGTGCCGTGAGATGGTGGACGGTACCACGGGAGGTATAGACGTGGCTGTAATGTGTTGAATAGTCGACAATGCTCATTTGCTTTGAAACTTTGATCATTTGAATGTTCGAACAGGATGTTTTTGCATACCAAATTTCGTCATGATCGCAAAAGTCCTTCTTGGTGCTTCTCTCTCTCTCTCTCCCTTTTTTTTTTTTTTTTTTTTTTTTCCGCGCAGACCTGCCAGCAGCCGTGTGGTAAAGTCGCTGGACACTGGTATTTCGGTTCGACATTCGAATCCTGTGAACAAACAGGCTGGCTTGGCTGCATGGGCGTTTTCGTGGTTTTCCCCATGTGTAACTTGTATGCAAGCCAGTTTCCCTTAGAAAGCCATCACTCGCCTTAGGCGGATAGCCCTAGTGTGCTTTGCCATAATTAAATAAACCAAGCAAAACTGAATTTTTTTTGCAAAATAGTGTATTACCTACCTAATGAGTACAAAGCAAAATCGAGACTGTTATTTTGCTCATCTCGTCAGTGAACAGTGTAAATTTCAAGTGTTTCCCAGAAACAGTTTCAGAAAATGCAATCTTTTGTCTTAGTTATTTCTGTGAAAAATCAAAATTGTGCATGCACTTTTCAAAAATCGTACACAGATGATTTTGGTTCTATTATTTTATCAAGAAAACGTAACATTGCAATGTGTACCATTTGTTATTGCAATGTTTTGATTTCGTATGATGAGGGCCGACGCTGTTAAGCATGCTAGTACACAAAGACAACGTAAGTTGTTGTGTTGAAAATTATATTTTTCTATGAAAACAAACGACAAAAGTTACTAGGGAAGCATGCTTGATCTCTGCCTTTTTACTGGAACACAACCTGCTGCTGAATGCATCAGACCATGCTGCAGCTCTTTTAGAAAATTGTTTCCCGTCAGTAAAATCGCTAAGAAATACTCTAGTACTGTCAAAAGTTTTACTTCGGCGATTCCGGATTATAGATCATCAATTTAAATCTGGTAAGATGGCATGCAGAAATTATAAAATTAAAAATTTAATTTATGAAATAAAGAGCAATTATGACCTAAAGGGTATCGAAATTTACAAAAAAGGGGGGGTTATATTTATTTGTTTACTTTATTAAATGTTTCTTTCAACGTGCGCATGGGTAAAGCATACATTACGCATAGTCGAAATTAGAAAATTGCAACCAGAAAACTATTTGATGTGTATTCGTGATATTTATAATGGCGAGGAATTTGATTTAAATTGTGTCAAAGACTGAGTACATCGAGATGGAATACTACATTTAGTAAGGAAATATAAGTCGAATTAAATAAAAACATCTGCCCTGAAGGTGAGGATAGTGCTGACAGTTCATTGTGCACTGACCCCCCCCTTCTTCCGCAGAGCAGCATGAAATTGATAAACAGATTTCGGAATGGTTAGAGAAACAAATCACCTCTCTGTCACTTTCTTCGTGCCTTTATCCTTTTTTTGCAGCAGTTCCACTTTTTGTTTAATGGACATCGAAACATACTTTCACTTTGTAGATCCTTTGGCAGCTCCAGAATCGGAAATTCTTTTTGACATAATCAAAAGTTCAAGCTTACTTTTATAAAATTGCTCTAACAGTCTGCAAAAAATAATAAGCCGGATCCAATTCGAAGATTAAGGAACAACACTCTGCAACATTAACTGAAATAGATAATTAGATAATTTTAGCTTAGCTTTAACTAACGAAATCTTCATTAAATCTTTACTCTTTATGTATTGTATAATAGTAATTTGATATGTAAAAGTATGTTACACTTCATTGCTACTTATCTTTTCGATAGATCATGAAGGAATAAATGTTTATTTTTATAGCGTATTAGTAATTGCATGCATAGATTCTGTTTGTAATTGTAATGACATATTGATGCTCTTAAGAAGGGTTTATTCATGATGGATCATGAAATGTATATGCTGGTGGAGTGTTTATAAAATACTGAATCTTTCTAAACATACTGTGTATATAAAATGTTCTTTAAATGCTGCTTTTATTGAAGTTGCTTTCATGTCATCAGACTATGCAACAACAAATTTTACTAGTTCTAACAATTTTAAAGATATGCTTACCTTTGATGACAATACATGGTAATGCAGTAACTTAAGGTACTTTTGTGCATTTGGAAGGTTATGTCAAATTAGCCAGTAATTCAAGACTCGAAGTAAATTATGCTACAGCAGCAGATATTAGATGTAAACAGTATGTTCTTGGAAAAGTAGGTGGAAAATCTTTGCCTACTGATTCTTATATATAATGGCATCCAGTGTCATTTGCAGTAAAGGTAGGTGGAAAATCTCTGCCTATTGATTCTTATATAATGGCAACCGGTGTCACTTGCAGTTGTCCCCCTTAGAGCACCACTCCAGTGCCCTCTCTTAAGGATAAATGTTTTAGAGGCAATCATTCTGTGAAACTTGAGTTAACATTTTGTCATTGTCAGTGGCTGACATTATCTTCTCATAAAATCCAAATTTGGTCTTTTGAATATTTTAATTTGTATGTTGTACGTTTAATTTTTGCTCTATAAGTAAATGAGTAAATGCTATTTCTGTACTTTGTCGTCCTCTTTTTAATGTATTTATTTAGAAATTGATAGACCTGTCCTTTATTTAATTAATAAAAAATTTGTATCATTTTAGTGTATAGGTAGGTATCCTGTATAATATTTTTGTCATAATGAGGAAAAATTAACTCTAATCTAGTCTCAATTACTTGAATGACCAAGTAATTGAGATCACTGAATACTAGGAATTCAGCCTAGACCTGATTGTAGGTGACTTGTTTTTATTGTGTGCTTTTGATGAGAGAGAAAAGAATTTTTCCTGTTGTTGTATCTTACTGTGTTGCAGTTTACTTCACACTTACTCATCTTGCTGCAATTTTTGGTACTTTTCCATTATGCATTTGCCTTACTTTTTGGCACTTGTGACAGAGAAGTACATGCCAAGACCCCAATGATTGTGTCTAGTGACTATGCATGTGTAACTATAAGCTCTTCATTTAACTGATAATTGTTTACAATTAAAAACAAATTTGCTTATGTTTTTTCTTTGGTATGCATTATGAATTAATTAATATTTGTTCCTTTTTCTTTACTTGTCATGATGTTAATATTATTTTTGTTTTATTTTCAATAGAGAAATTGTGAAAAGTGCCATAATTCAATAAAGAAAGAAGCCATTTCAATGAAGAAACATAATGTGCCTGAAAATCTCGGACAGTTGTGGGCTCCTTATGATGATGAAATGAATAGGCTTCCTGAAGTTAGCAGTGAAAATGAAATTTCTCTGGAGGACAAAAATCTTTCACAAAGTGACTATATCTTTAATGCAGTCAAAGATTTAATTTTTCACATGTTAAAAATAGTTAGCGAAGAACTAGATCTAAAAAACAAAAAGATTGATTCTTGTTTGCTACAAGTTAAAGGTGAAGATAAATTAAAAAATAACAGTTCAAAAAAATGTTTACAGAATTCAGAACACTCAGTTAAAACTTTTGACAGTCAGCCCTCTGTACACAAAATAAATGAATCTTTTCCAGATATTTCTGCTGAGAATCTAAACGTGGAGGTCACTTGTGAAGGGAATTATTATTTGCCTTCAACTGACAGTGAAACAAAAGTGAAAAACAATAGTTCTAAGAATGGTTTGCAGAATGTTAAAGACTCTTTGGTAGAAATTTTTCACACTGTACTATCTTCAGCAAAAGTAAATGAAATTCCTCCAGATGTTTGTGGTGAGAAGCAAAAAATAGAAGTCAGTTCTGAAGAGAATTCATGTTTTTCAAATTATAATATGAGTGCTTTTGTTGACTTAATTGTAGACATTAAAAGAATAGTGTTCAATAATGCTAATTTGGAACTATCTATTTCTGAACTTGAAAATGATTTTAGATCCAAGCTTGATAAGAAAGAAGCAGATATTCTTAGTATTAAAGAACAGTCTGAGAAACTCAGTGCTGAACTAAAACAGCAGTTTTTTCAAATTGAGAAGGATTACAAGTCTCAACTTGATGAGAAAGATAAGGAATTGTGTCGCATCAAAGAACAGTATGAAAAACTCAATGGTGAACTGAAACAACAGTTGCATGAACTTGACAAGGATTACAAGGCCCAACTTGATAAGAAAGATGCTGATTTGCTTAATATTAAAGAACAGTATAAAAAACTCAATGTTGAACTGAACCAACAGTTATTTGCACTTGGTAAGAACTACACATCTCAACTTGATAAGAAAGATGCAGAGTTGCAGAGTTTTAAACAACAGTTTGATAAACTTGAAAATGCTAAACTGAAACAACTGTTATTTGAACTTGAGGAAAATTACAAGATCAAGCTTGATAAGAAAGATGCAGAGATGCTTAGTATTAAAGAAAAGTGTGAAAATTTTCAGCAGTTATATGAGGTAATATTTGAAGTTAATATTTAATTTTTTTATTAAAAATTTTATAATATTTGCTTAAAATTTGTTTTTTAGTAACTTTGGTGACAGAATTTAAAATTCTCACTTATTTTTCCCTTTAACCCTCCAGCTGAACAGGCCGTATCAGTAGCATAGCTTGGGGGGGGGGTTGTCTGCAGGCACAGCATCCATAAAATTTTCCCTTCCCTGCTGTATTTAGGCAGATGGAAGGGGATGCAAAATCTGCATTCCCAAGCTATGCCTTTGGGCCGTAGAATATTTTTTATAACATATTTTGATAAGTTTAGGTACGTGTATCTTAAAATATGTTAAAAAATTAAAGTAGTATATTGAAAGGAAAAGATAACAGGGACATTTTGGTATTTTACTCAAAAAATAACACATATGCTTGTGTAATTGTGCAGTGATGTGTGGATATTACACAAAAGAATTTGACTGTATATATTCCTTTAGTAAAATGCTTCTAATATGTAAATTAAAGAAGGGGGACTTTTAAGTTTTTATTTGCTCATAGATTTATTTTCTATTAAGAAGGAGCTTGTTTTTGATATAAATTATTCTGAAGAAGGAGGAACAAGCATGTACATAACATACGATGCTACTTTGTATTTGACCTTATGTAAGAAATTCCTTATTTTACCCCCCCCTTTTTTTTTTTCAAATGATTAATAGTGCTGACCTTATTCTTGCCATGGCTGCATTGCGCAAGAAATTATGTAGTGTGTGACTGTTGTAAAGCAGTAAAAAATGACATTAAAAAGTGAGTCAATGTGTAATTGAATTACAAGTTTTCTTTGATTATCTTAGTAAAAGTATTATAAATATGAATTCAAGATAATGTTTAAATGGGCGCATAATTGTCATGACTATATATCTTATCTCATGTAACTTGCACAAGACATAGTCTGTAATTAACGTACCTATGCTTATATGCAGGCCTTGTATGCCCATGTAATATATATATATATATATATATATATGTATGTATGTATTAGGTTTGTAGTGGTCCTTACAAGTGTTTATAAGTCCTTATATTTGAAAATGAAATATAAAGGCCCTTATAGGTGCTTATTTTTTCTTTAAAAGCCCTGATATATGTTTTTTAAGTGCTTATTTTTTGCTTTTAGTGCTTTTTTTTTTAATGAACGCACATTTTTTCCTCGTACAAAAGCCGAAACTAAATAAACAACTTTTCTTCCTTATATGCAATGTCAGATGGTGAATCATACTTCTGGAAATTGCTTTTCCTCCTTTCTCTGCATTAACATAACCTATGGTGCGCAAGAGAGTACAGACAGGTGCACGTCGTTCTATTGGTCAAAGAATTGCGAAAACCGGAGAAAATTCCGGTACATTCGGTATTCTTTTCCTCCCACCCAAATACTACATACGTTTGGATTTCTATCAAGATTTTAATAATTTGCATTCTCATAGAGTGGTCAGTTCATATTCGTGTTTATGATCGTTATGCTTATATTATGAGCATATGCATGAATATTTATAATAATATAGTTGCAGTAACTGCTGAAGTATAGATAATCTTCCAAAAATGGGTGTGTTTTTACACAGATTATCTTTCTAAAGAATAATAATCAGAATGGCTTAAATAAAAGGAAAGTAATCAAATAGTCAAAATAATTTCTTTTCTTTCTTTCCCACCCCTCCTTTTTTTCTTTTTCTTTTCTTTTTTTTTTTTTTTCTTTTTTTTTTTTTTTTTGTTTGTTTGTTTGTTTGTGTTTGCCAATACATTATACAGTATGGAGGTTGGGAGGTTCTCCCCATTACTCCGCAAAATCTCTAATATCGAAGCAGCAGACTTTTTTTCTTTTCTTTTCTTTCTTTCTTTCTTTTTTTTTTTTTTGGTCACTGTACAATCTGCATTGAATACGACTAAAAGTTTTTGTGGTCTACCCAACCTAAGTGAAAATTGATTCTATTTCGGAAATTTAACGCAGTCTGTTGAAAATTAGAATCAGAAACACCCCAGATTAGTAAGTCTCTTTCTTTTCCTTTATTTAGTTCTTTATTCTCGGAATACGGGCAGCTGTTGATTCCGATTGTGTAATATCACACATGGAAGAATTATGCGCAATAACATTTGCACATATTGCACAATAATGGCTGTGGTATTTTGCAGAGATAATTAATTTTGATGTTCAGTCTGAGATTTGTTTATGAACATTTAGAAGAGTTTTACTGTGCTTTCTAAGCAGAATATTTCTCAGTTCCATTGGTCTATTTTTATATGATGCACGTATCGAAATATCAAAATCATTTATTTAGCCGAGAAATCTAAAGAACGGCTACAATCTCCCTCCACTCCTCTTTCTCCAGTTACTATCCGGAATATTCGGCAATTTCAGAGTATGCGGGTTAGTTAAGCATTTACTGTTAAAGGATGATTGCATGAAACAATTTCTCGCCTTCTGATTTCAGAAATGTGCCTCTTTTTTACTTAATTTACTTTGCTTGGAATATATGTTAAGAGAAAGCTGTTATGCAATGAAAATTTAGAAAATGTCGAGAATTTTGATTTAAGTTAAATTATTTAAATATTAATATGAGTGGAAAAATAAATTGTATTTATTATTAGGTGCCAAACGAATACAATGAATATGACTTATTATTATTTATTTTCTATATTCTGAAGAAGAAATAATCCCTTCTGCTAGGATAACTCTTAACACTGTACGACTTTCACAACAAAGTCAGGTCAGTATGTGACCATGACACATTTTGATTCTGAAGTAACATGTAAACTGAAATTGCAATGGAGTGTGTATGTTAACTGGAAAGACCGAAAATTGGAGATTGTCAAAATTCACAGTCGCTTGGTGTATGTCCAAAATATTTGTCAAATATCCTTCACAGTCGCTTGGTGTATGTCCAAAATATTTACCAAATATTCTTATTTCTGACTTGCACTGACAAATGTTGACATTCACCATTCTCTAATGGTGAATGTTAAAAATGTCAGAGATTTGCATTTTGTTCCCCCATATTTCAGGCGTGATAAAACTTCACAAGGGTGACATAACTTTTTCGCCTGTCTTACCAAGAGGAATGACCAATCCCGGTGAGGAGAGTTGTTTATAACTCTGTTGATGTGGTTTCACTGCGGGACATGTAGTTTTAGATTCTAATGTGAGAAGAGCTATTCCATATTACTTGCCTTCTTAATAATAATGACAGCAGTTGTGCTTGGATAAATTTTAAGCATTTATTTATAAACTTGTGTTGTTCTTTAAGGGCTTGATATGAAGACGATGTAGGTTGCAGGTCCTCTTCAATGTTTTTCTTTGGAATGTGGTTTTTGGTATGGCCACTGGTCAAATTTTCTTCAAAAGTAATGATAGTTTCTTCAAGCTGTTCTTCGATTTCAAAAGTATTAGCAATTTCTTCAAATTGTTCTTCAGTTGCAATATTTGCGATTTGTTTGCCAAGCGAAAAAAATGATGCTATGCCTCTTCTTGGTTTAATGCCAAACATGGTTTCATAAGGATTTTGGCATATTCATTCATGATATGTAGTGTTCTTGACAAATTGAAGAAAGGGCAAACCATCTGACTATTTTTTTGTATCATTATTGTTCAACCATGCAGTTAACATATTCTCTATATTCCAGTTAGCCCTTTCAACTGAGCCTTGTGTTGACTATGATGAGGCTTTTATACACCATTATGAACTTTGCTATCCCTAGGCGACTGTTGGTCTATCAGATCAATTTGGCCTATTCTAGTGCGAGTTTCAGATAGTATGCTGAACAGTTCATCATTAGTAACATAATACTGGATATTCATTTCTCCGGGTTTTTAGGGTACAATTAATTTTTCTTCATTAATTTTTTAATTGTCTTTAATGCAAAGATGTGCTGCACTTAGTTTTTGCAGAAATCACTTTAAAAAGTATTTTAAAGTACTTTTCTTGTAAAAAATAATTTAAAAAAAAAAAAAAAAAAAATCTCGCTTACTTGCAGTTTAATGCATTTAACTTTTTAAAGAAGTTCATGGCTCAGTACAGTATCCAATCAGTATAAATTAGGGTATCGTATAAAAAAAAATTAAGGAAAACATTGTGTGTTCCATCAAACCTCACATAAGACTGACAAACAGTGTTCCAGAGTATAACAAATACATGCCACGTAACTTCAGTTGTAGCAGAACAAGGGTTTGGCAACAGACTGTCGCTCCTCTGTTGATCTCGACTTTTCTTTTTGATGTCTAGCACAGTATAGCTGTCATTATTTCCAGATTCGAACAAAGGCTTTGGTGACAAACTGTCACTTCTTTGTTAACCTCGACTTCTCTTTTCGACCTCCACAACAGTATATCTGTGATTGTCGACATACACCGTTGATAGTCCGAATGTACAAGAATATAATGAAGTAGTCGGCATAGCTCAAAATCCCACTGACCACCTTCAAGAACCTAATTCCTTCACGTCTCGCAATAGTCCGTTCTGCGAAAGGTGTTGATTCTGCCTTTTTGAAAGGTGGTTACATTAATGTGACTGGACTGTGTATATTGTGATGTAAGTGGTGACTTTGTTCCCAGGGAGCTCCGCAGAGCAGTATTTCATTCACTGCATGAACTTCCTTTTCCGTGTATAGGATCGACCAGAAAACTGATTCATTCTCATTTTGTTTGGCCTTCTGTGCCAAAGGGTTGTGCTACCTGTACTCATACTAGGCATCGACTGCCGGAAATCCCAAATTATGCATCATACTCATAGTCCATTGCAGTCCTTCAGAGCGTGTGCATGTAGATATACGGGGTTTGTACGGTTTTTAAGAGTCCTTAAAAGTCGTTAATTTTGGCCAATATCAGTAGAAGATCCTTAATTTTAATCATCTGAAATTTCTGTCTCTTTTTTACGACTGCCATTTTGAGTGTGAATTAGCATTTTGCAGGAATACTTTTGGCGATTCACTGACGTATATGGTTATCTTTTGAATGGGTCCATGGCTTATAATTTGTTTCTAT